GGATGAAACCAAAGCATAGTACTTCACATACAAAACAACCTGGTGTCTTAAGTCTAGGGACTAGTTACACAACTGACACATGAGAAGTATTGCAGAGACACTTGAGTGAGGTACCAAATGCACTTCTCATGGCGGGTCATGTTCAGTGAACTCGCTTTCTGATAACTCTATTATATATAGTTATTTTGACACATTTTGGGGGCTTAAGTAGCTAAAATTTTGAGATTTTAGGTTCAAATTTTAGCATTTTAGGTGTTTTTCTAGTTTAAGTTTGATTACTTGTTAAGTGATTAATTTAAGTTATTTTAGTTAAATTTTATGTTGTTTTGTTTTAAATTACTTTAAGAGTAGTTATTGCTAATTTCTCTTATGGCTTTTGTAGGAAATTGATGAAAAGGCCGATTTGATGAAAATCAGTGCAAGTATGGCGATGACTTCGTTCGTATATGTTTTGGTATTTTGACCATATCTCTCTCTAAACAACTCCAAATGAGATGATTCTTAGACCACGAGAATTCTAAGCAGAAGAGCTACAATGTTTATTTCATCAATACACCCAGTTTTGATTGGATCATTGTCAAAATATTTGTCAAAATCGTAGCATTGAAGCAGTATGCAAGGACTGAATATGATGTGGTATTAGGAGCATATCTTTCAATCCAAGAGTCCAATTGATGTGATTCTTTGTCCATTAGAAAGTAGTGCTAAAACTTTTATGTTTACCACTTTGCCCAGTTCGGAACATGCCATGGTGAAACTCACGTTTGACGTTGATAGACTGCCACAGCGCTAGGAGAACAAGGCTGCAGCGTTGATGAAAGGAAGCAAACATATAAATTTCCAGAGAGCTCAGCGCTGCAGCGATGGAGAAGTAGCGCCGCAGCGCTGGGCGACTTTCCAAATATAAAACAAGTTGACGGGATTTTGGAAATTAGGTTATTTGGAGCTTATTTAAGGGACCTTTTCCAGATATTTTGAGGAGGAGGCAGCAATCAACTATTCTGCGGATTGGAAGCCAAGAGCAAAGCTAGAAAATAAGAGAATTTGAGGGAGAATCAAGATCACAAAGCTCTAACTATTAGTTTTCTCTCTTACTTTTGTGTTTTTCTTATTTTCTTTGACTTGGATTCATGGCTAAATTTCTTTGGATATTGTGTTTATTAGATATTATGAGCTAATTTATTTTTCTAGGATTGCAATTGAACTCACATGTAATCTAAATTTTTAATCACTTTCTTGCTTATTTTCAATGGGATTTGAATTATTTATTCCAATTTGTTCTTAATGCTTTTAATTGCTTGGCCACCAGTTAAATTGATTTAAGAATCTAAACAAACTTGGGAAAGGGAATTGGGATAACATATGATCATATTACTAGATTTGCGTATAGGATAGGGATATACCTATAGGCCATATGTAGCCAGACTAGAGCTTGAACTTAATGAGTCTGTTTTAATTTCAATTCGCATAGAGATATAGTTTTTTGGTCAAAATAGATATTTTTATAAGATGAGTCGGGAGACCCTTATAAATAATTTAGGACTCTAGGTTAGCAATTCAAACCATTGAAATAAGTTAAGGAAGAGACGTAAGATTTAGATGAAGTGTGAGGGATATTGTAATCCTAGGCTTGTTTGATTTTATATTTATTTGAGTATTTATTATTTTGATTTTTCTTAGTTTAATTTTGTTATAACTTAGTTTGATTTGATATTATTTTGATATTGTTTGGATAAGATTAATTTTCGATAATTTTAGTATTTAGTAAACTTTTAGATCAATTCTCTGTGGGATCAATACTCTACTTGCTAATATACTATCTATTCAATACATATACTTGCGTAGTAGACTTTTAACTGACAAGTTTTTGACACTATTGCTGGGGAATTGTTTCTAGAATTTTTACTAATACTAATACCATGCAAATTAATCTTAATTCAATTTTTTTTATTTTATTTTCAGG